GGAGATTTAGAATTATATTGTACACTTAATTTTCCTCCCCCTTCTACCTCCCAACTTCCTCTTTTGTTTCTTATGGAACTTATTTACTCATCCCTTTAGCTGTTCCATATCTGGTCCCATAAAATTGGGAATTTACTGGAGCATTAAGAAAGAGAACTAAATAGATATCCCTCCAGCCATTATTATTGTTTGCACTTCCTATTTTAAGTCACATTCCCTCCTGCCCCTTTTTCATCATCTTCTTTAAGACTTCTAAGCCCTTTTAGACAAGTGTCCCATATTATCTGTTTATACAGAAACAAATATGACAGTGAGTGAAGTGTGATGCTACTTGATAATACCAATTTCAATCACCTGTATTTCCAGCTGTTCTGAGCAATACCACTTCAGGAAAGTTCCATCTCTAGAAAACCATTATTTAATGGTTAACATAACCATTTCTTAGTTTTTAAAGACCCAAACAGCAAATATAAGAACACACAATACTTGTAAAACTCAACAACCCTTAATCTGTTTGGAGAACACCAGCACCTCAGTTTTAGATTTAAAATATTTTAGAAAATTCTATTTAAATCACAGAAACCTAATCTTAGCATGTTTCTATTGAAACATTTGAGTATTCCAACCACAGGAATTTCACATAAAAATATCTTCATTTTGCAGTGAAGGGGAAAAGAAATGAACATCAGATACTGTATTTATTGGTTAATTTAATTAAGTACTCTCTCAAAAAAGACCAATTCTCAAACCAAAACTCAGAATGCTAACACGCTCACAACTATGTACACAAAAAAGCAGCTGCAGAATCAGTCTCATAACTCTGAGCAGTCACATTATATAAAAATTTACTTTAAATATAAACAGCATTCCTTATCCTTGCTCTCCACTTGAGAGCACTGCACTCATGTGTCTGTGGACTTAATATAGAAGTAAACATATCTGTTATTCCTAATCACTCACTAGATCGGATAAAAGATAAATAAAAAAGCAGGTAAGAAAACCTACTCATCTCCAGAGTTGTTTTCTCTCCAAACAACTCCCAAGAAGAAGAAAACACATCAATTTCTCACAAAAATATTCTGGCTTAATGGTATATTTCTGGTAATATAGATCAGCTAACTCGATGGACATTTTCACAGACATGTGCACTTTAGTCTGCCAAGCCCTCTGAGATGTCACCAAGAATCATCCAGATGGGCACAACTAGTGGAGAAATCTTTGCCAATGTACTGTCACTGTATTACATTTCAGCTGGTGGCTAAAAAAGAAAACATTGCAAATATCATAATTAAGTCTCATCTTGTTTTTCCACACCCAAGCCAAGCCACAGGTGTGTGAGCAGACCCCAGAATGGCCCAGCCAGGGCTGCCAGCCCATACTGGACACTGTCTGACAGGAACAGCGCTTTCCACTTCCTTCTACCTGCTCTTCCAGCCTATAATGTGTTCTCTTGCTACACACATTTTCTTTCATGGAGTACTCCTAAGTTCAAAATACAGATGTTAGGATGCCTTAGGTTTTAAGTCAGTTTCTTAATGATTACATTAAGATACATCAGTGTAAAAAAAACAAAGTATACAAACTGATCACATTATGATCCCACTGCCATTTTCCTGTCCAATCATACCCAGTATTTCCATCTTTACTCCCAATATAAAACAAAAAGCTGTGCTTGCTGTTTCAAATGAACTTGCCACTTAAAGCAAGCAAAAAATTAGTAGGAAGGATCAAAAAAGTCACATAAATGTCCAGCATGCAGTAATTTAAATTGGTAACAAGGAGCAACAATGCTGAAAAATCAATTGCCGAGTGAGCTGGATGACCAGAGGGAACACTAAAACTACAATGATCTTAATCTAAGGCCTACAAATTGGAGACAGTGCTTGGAGAACAGTGCTCCAAGCAGGAAACAAAGAAAAGAAAAAAAAAAGAAAAAAAAAAAGCTTTCCTTTGAGCTGAGCTATTGAAATGCAGTAACAAGTTACTCTTCTGTCTTTGGCAAATGAACAAATTGCAGAAAACAAGAAAACAGTAAATGAAATTTTTCTACTGAAGCCATAAAAATTACTATATTTAGCTCTGCAGCTTGGCATGAATAAAGTCAATTTACACAATTCTGGAAGAGGAATTCTTTCTACTTTGTCCAAAGTTTTAAACAAGGCCCTAGTGATATTATTTTTGAAATCCATATAGAGTTCAAGATTTTGCTTTAAGCCTCACCAGTTAAAGTTAAGATTTATTTCTCAGAACAGCAATAAAATATTTTAGCAACACACAGAGAAAGATTAATTAAATTCATATGGTGGGGGTATTTTACCATTCAATGCTTATGAAATATCAATATAAAATAGAAAATTGATGATCAAATTAACTTGCATAAAATATTATCTATTGCAAATCACAAGACTATATCATCCAGCTGCTTGGTGGGTGAAGAATGTGTGTTTAGGACCTAATGTAGTTTCTGTATTAAGGTGTAAAGCTACTTTACTGCATCAATTAGTTTATTTCGATCTCTCTTAACGCCCCGTAAAGCCAAGCTTAGGCTCGCCTCTCAAAAACAGGCCAACTGCTCCCTCCTCTGGAAGTCACCGACCATTGCACCGGGGTGCCGAGATACGCAGATAAAACGCGCATCAATCAGAAGCTAAATTAAACAAATTAGAGGGGGTTTCCACTCAATTACTTGATAGTCGGCTAAGATTTGACAGACTGATAACCCGCACTTTTCATTCTCTTACCAGAAAGATTCACATATACAAGTTCACAAAATCTAAAAGATTAAAAGTAGAGAATGTAGAAGACAAGGTAGGGCACCTGAAACATGGAAAATGGGGTGGTTTGGGTTGAAAGGGACCTCAGAAACCATCCCCTCTCCAGTTCTAACGTCCTGCCAGGGCCAGGGACACCCTCCACTAGACCAGGTCAGGCTGGATGGGGCTCTGAGTGGCCTTGGACACTTCAAGGGATGGGGCATCCACAACTTCTCTGGGCTACCTGTTCCAGTTGTCACCACCCTCACAAGGAAGAATTTCTTCCTAATATCTAATCTAAACCCAGTCTCCTTCAGTTTAAAGCCATTCCCCTTTTCCCTGTCACTACATGCTCTAGGAAATAGCCCCTTTACACCTTTCTTGTAGGCTCCTTTCAGGTACTGGAAGGCCACAATTAGGTCACCCTGAAGGCCTCTCCAGGCTGAACAACCCCAGTTCTCTCAGCCTTTCCTCACAGGAGAGGGGCTCCCTCTTCATGTCCCTCCTTGGACTTGCTCCAACACATCTGTCCTGAACATTTTCAGACTCAGTAAAATACTCCCATCAGGGAATCTAAAATAAAGATTAGAGTATTCTCTGTACTCTGCCTGCAGTGACAAGTAGGAATAGTGTTTAATGGAGAATCTATTGCATGGGCATCTTCTGTGCAAAACTTACCTGAAAGCTGAAAAGTCTTAAAAAATATTCACATGAAATACAAATCCAATGTCTTTAAAGAAGCAAAACTTGACAAACAAAACCTGTGACCTAATAAGTAAAATGTTAATCTGTGCACAAAGTGAATTTCAATCAGGTCAAGGCAAAGTTAAATTTCAGCATTTGGTACATGCAAAAACTTAAAAACTTACTCTCATTTCTCACCTACTGTAAGAAAGAAAAAGTTGCATTCCATTATCATTTTCCAAAGCTTTATCTGTGATATTCCTACCTACAGACATGCTCAATGAGAACCTAGCCCTGCTCAGGCAGTCAGGGATGCTAAACTCAGTGACTTCAAGGTCCATGCTGAATACCAGTTACACATCCTTGCTGAATAATGAAGCTGTAATGATGCACGTCAGAGACCAAGAGTCTGCAGCCTTTATATTGAGTAAAGACATGCCAACTCACACCACTTTTTTTTATCGGGCACTTACATGAATATTGATGATATCAAGAGTTCTCAGCTGAGAAAAGCAGCGCCTTCAGCCTCAGCTCCTGTTATCCACATCAGTGGTGCACAGACTCAGAGTATCAGCTAAAATCTGCTCAAAATCAAATATATTTCTCCTCTAAGTCCCTCTATCAACTCAGCAGCAGTGAATAACATGATACTGTTAACCTTCTGGAGGTTTACAGTCCTCTTAAACAGTAAAAATATAAAGCAAACATGCCACTAAATGACAGTGGTTTTCCTTGGAAAAGAACATGCAGCACACAAAAATTAAGTGCTTGGTCTTCTCATTAAACAGGTTGGTTACCCACAAAACCAAGCTTTGACAGCTTCCACAGCCTGATCACTCAGGAAGGATTTTGCAGTTGCCCTCCAAAAAATTCCAAGCATACCCACAGAAGAAAAATCCGTTGTGTTCTGAAAACTCCTGGAAAAACACTTCCAAGAGAATAATATGTTGTGCTAATCACAATTAGGTTTATTTATTGATTAGCTAGTATAGTCACAGTAGTAGAATTGTGAAGTGTTATGTTTATCACAGAATGTTTTGAAAAGTTTTGCTCTTCAGTTCATAACTAAAAGTCTGGGACTGTTTGCAAAATGAACTTCAATAGCATTTTATTGCACATGAAGCAATCAATCCCTGAAAATGGAAAAAGAGGCAGAAAAGAAACAAATAAATTAATACTTTAGGAACATTGCTACAACTTAAACCAGGAACCCTCACAACTGGGAAGTAAATAGCATTACAAGATTACAGTAAGAAAAGAATCCACCCAAGATTTTACTTCAGGTAGCAAAATAGTGTTTTATTGAGAATTCATGCAGTTTGCAATTCTCACTGCACAACTAATCACTTTTAGTTACAGCCTTTTAGTCCTCAGCTGACCCCAGACACACTCTGCCATGATACAGCAGCAATGCCAAGTTTGCTTCCAGAGGGAGAGAAAAGCTCATATAAGGTATGCTAGCATGACCAGAAACCTGAAAGATGCACTTTTAGTATCAACAGACACATTCTAAGCAGTATTACAGATTTATTATTTTTTTTAAAGCTATGACATTCTGCTTACCTTAATGACAAATTTGTTGGATGCCATGATAGGTCAGTGGAAGCTGGTCCTATAAAGAAACCAATTAAAAGTGATCTCTACAGAAATTGAGACTGAATTTCACATCTGTGGCCCATTCCTTCATGACTACTGTTCTTCAAACCCTACACTCTGATTTTAAAAAAACAAGGAAAATTCTTGTTTAAAGAATTACTTAGCTACCTGTGTGTTGGTTTCTTTAATTCAACCTCGTAACTTTGGAGGCACTTTGCATCCAACACAGAAAACACAAACTTAGAACTCTTTCAAGTAAGAAAATATAGCTTTTGGCTCACCTGGTATCCATCCATACACATTATGTATATTTAAAATTTTATATTACACACATAAAGCAGCATAACCCAATTCCCATGGTGGTTGCACAAAAGTAAAGTGAACTTTAGACTTCCTCCTCCCTTGCTTATCCCAAACAGGACCTAAATCGCTTAATTTGGGATCCTAAGTGAAAACATTAAAAACTGAGGAATGTGTACACATTTCTCATTGCATACCTCAAATCATTAAGTACTGTGAGAGAACTGTCAAATTTCAGGACCCAAGTCAGGTTGGGAATATGTGTTTCTGTCAGGCACTACACTTACATGTTTCAAAATGCAATTGTTATCACTGTTTGACTTCAGAAAAGTGCAAAACAAGATAAACACCCACTTTAAAACTACATGGTGTAGCACAGGTGATTTTAATCTTAAACAGTCCTGCACACAGAAGCTGGAATACCATCATGCCTTGTGCCATGCTGCTATCATTCTCCCTTGCACCAAACAACCCTGGAACCGTCTCCATTTTATCAGATTAAATCCTGACAACTTTACTGATGGCAATTTTGAGAAACACAGTGGAAGGAACAGAGCTCTGGACCACTTGAAACATCCTAGTTCAGTTCAGTCATGTAGTAAATTCAGCTGAACTTACCCTGGCATCACCCATTTCTTTCTGGTAGCAATTTACTTTCCAGAATAATACTGTTGCAACGTGTCTGCTACTACTCATGGGAGAACTACTGGCAGGCAGCAATCCCCTCCAAATACAATTTACAAAATTAATAGAAGAAAAACATAAAAAGGAAAAGGACGCACAAGAAAAGTTAGCTTTGGTTCAGTTTGCTCTTCCTGGGAGTAAGCTGACTTTGGGAGTTTGCCAACTACCCCATTCTTTGCACTGACCACACAGATAAGACAAAGGAAATAGAGCAGACAGACAAAATGTAAGCAAATCCACAGAACACAAAAAGGAAAATATTTTATGTTTGAACCATCAGGGAAATCACTGAAGTGACACAGGTGAAAAAATACTCAATACTAAGGCATCAGAAGATGAGGAAAACCATTCGCCAATTGTTCAAGAAAAAAACAACTAGTCCCAAAATACTTTGCCATTTCCTGTGTTTAAAAAAAACACCAAACACACAGATCTGTTACAACTGCTACTGTTAAACAGCAAGATTCTGTCTCATGGAATGCTTGTTGTGTTGCAAACCTCTAAAGTAAGCGCCACATAAGGACATATGAAGTTAAGCAAATATGGCAGAAAAACTCCTCACAAGACTATATATACATATACATATATATATGTGTACAAAAAACAAGTCCTGATGTGGGTTGTGTAGTACTCCAAGGCCTAAAATGTTGATACATCTGGTGCATGAAGACATGAATTAGAATGAAACACATAGGTTGCCTGTAGCTAGAGCGAGACACACTTTAAAAATAATGTGGCAGAATATCTTTCTTTCCTAAATTTGAGTCAAATGGAGCAGTGGGGTCTCAGGAGAAGCCAGAAAACACAGTGACCCAGAGAGCAAGCTCAGGTGTCCTCTGCCAGCTGATGAACAGCATCTTACCTTAGCAAAGCAGCTTCCTGTGGTGAGCAAATGCAGAGCTCGGAGGGAGGAGGAACTGAAAACTCCCGGCACACACTTGGAGATACAGCAGCAAGCTTCACCCACGGCCCATCCCCGGCTGGGGAGAGGGGGCACCTGAGGACGGCAGAAACAAACAAACAAACGCTCACTAAGGAACTCTGTAGGGTAAGTTGATATTAACTATTTTTGTAGTATGAAATGAACTATCACAACATAAAAAAACCTTTCCTGTCCAGCGCTAGTCAGTTTCCAGGAGTGGATCCCAAGCTTGGGGTGAGCAGTGCAATGCTCAGCTACTCACACATCCCCTAAAGCATCCCCAGTGCTGAAAAGACACACCACAATCTTCCCATTTGCCATTCAGGATTTCTATGCCCACTGCTGCCAATTACTCCACTTAGCCCTTGAAAAATACTCTTCCAGCCAGTCAGCGCCTTTTCTCCTCATTGTTGTTCACACGCCTTCATTCACAAACTGCCCATTCACCTTTAAGGTTCAATAAGTCAATTTCCAAACATGACCCAGTCACCACAGAACTGCCTAGAACTACAGGGAGGAGAGGTTCTGAGGAGCACCAGAGGGCCACAAACAGGCACTATTATATTTTTTAACTATTGTGGAACAGCTGAATGCAATTAACAGTGAAAAATTACTACATAATTAAAAAATTATACTCCTTTCTGCGTGAAGATCGGACATTAAATACTTGTCTTTTGGCTACAGTCAAAAACTCTGCAACTATAAACGAAATTGAAAACAAACCCATTCATTAACAAATGAATATAAAAAGAGATATCCTTGACTGACTGCATGAGTAGAGAGAAGAGTGAACACAGGAGAAGTATAACTGTATTCACAGGAGTAATTCTTGTACTTACAAGAGTGAACACAAAAAAGCAGAAGAGTTAAGGAAAAGCGGAGGTCAGAGAACAAAGTTATTTGAACTTGTTTTGGCCGGGGCACTTCTGCCCGCCCACAGGAAGCCGGCTAGGCGAAGGTGTAAGGCGGAGTGGCTACAGTAGCAGGTATGCAAGGAAGAAAAATCAAAGATATATACACGTATTTTTCTGCCTGGCCAGGCTGGGCGGGGGTGAGGAACGGGACAGAGCGGCTGAGGCGACGCCGGAGGCGGCAGTTTAGACAGGCTCGGTGGGAGCCGGCCGGCACCGCCGCTAGAGTCCTGGGTGCCCGAGCCTCCCCTCAGAGGTTTAACCGAGGAGAGGAGCAGAGCCAGAGCCCAAGGCACGGCCACAAGAGCCGGGCGGCATTAAGTAGCCGTGGCCGTACCCCTCCCCACGCCGTGCCCGCCTCCCGCCGCTCCTCTGCCCTACCCAAAATGGCCGCGCCCGTCGCCGCCGCCCGCCCCGCGCTGCCCGCACGCAAAATGGCCGCCGGCGGCTGAGGTGGGCCGCGCCGCCAGTGACGCTGCGCGCGGCTAATGGCGGGCGCGAGGGGCGGCACGGCACGTCCGGGGCCGTGCTTCCCGCAGCGCTTCTCCTTCCTGCTGGGGCGCGTTTGAACGTGTGGGGGCCGGGCGAGTGCTCTCCTCCCCGGGAAGGATCCTCGGTAGTACCTTCCTCGCTCGCTCGCTCCCGGGGCGGGGAGACACCTCAGGTGCGCCGTGCCCGCGGTCTGTACCCTCAGCCGCCCGCGCCTCAAGGTGGCTGCGTCCGGGGAAGGAGGAGGAGGAGGAGTGGGCTGTGGGGGCTCCGTAGCGCGATGGAGGGAGGGGTGCTTGGTGGGGCGGGTTACACCTGCCAGGGCCACGGAGCTGGGCCGGCGGTGGGAGCATTTCCTCTCCGAGTTACAGCTTTGTAGCCGCTCAAACCTGTGAGATGTTTCGGTATAAAACACGAGTGTCCGTGAGAAATCCCACGGAAAGTAGTTTTTTTCCAGTTTCTCATTACATAAGGATTAATTTATTGCTCTCTTTGTAATGGTACCACTTCTGAATACTATAAGGTGATCAGGCAAAGCTGCACAAAGGTAAAGTGGTGTCAGAAGCTTCACACCTTGCTTTGCCTGCAGTTTCAAAGTTCTGCATTGCCGTAGGAGCCCAGCTACTCATTGAATTTTATTAACTATAGTGGGGAAGGTGTATTTTGAACCTGCTTTTGGGCTTCTGATGCTTACCATCTGGGCAGTAGTGCTTGTAATTAGATAAAGCTTTGTTGTGTTTAAGATTTAGCATGCCAAAGCTCGAAGCAAAGGCAGCAATTAACATTTCAAAATGTCTGAATTGAGGTTATTTTTTTGGTTCACAAAGTAAGGCTTTTTGTTTAGTGTTTTAGTCATCTGCTGCAGTGCAATTAAAGGTAATAACATTCAGCTTCATCTGTTCAGTATTGTTACTGTAGAGTAAGAAAAAAAGGATTTCTAGAATATATTTAAAATAATAAATTATCTTTACCTAGGTAGATGCCAGTTTGCAATGGGTCTTAAAACCTTCTGGAAGGACAACAAAGTTCTGATTGTTATGGGAGCTAGCCTGGGGCTAGTGCACTGGGGCTGGTATTACTTGAAGTCCAGTCCTATTTTCCAAGTGAAGACAGAGGATTTGTCTCCAGACCGTGAGATTCTGGCATTCATGATGCAAACTGCTCGCAAAAGTAAAGAAAAATAGCATTAGTACTTTGATTTTTGGGTAAGTTGCCTAATTAGTTGTATCTGTGTCTTTGAGGGAGAAGACTAATTAATTGGGAATTTTCAAGCATACAGCCTTGGTGCTCTAACTTCAGTATTTTGGAGTTTTATCCTCCTTTGCAACTGAGTTAATTTTTTGTACCTACGTGGACCCAAAAAGTGCATCATAAGTCTCAAAAACTACTGCTAAATCCCACATGAGATCAATTAAGTGAGGGTATTATATGTCTCAAAGATATTTTAAAACAGGCTTCAGTAACTTCAGGACAGCAATCAAGCTCATGTGACTGGATCTATAACAGTGTCCTTTTAGGCTTAAAACTGCCCAGAAATAATTGTGACTGTACATAGTAACATGTTTTGCGTTAGTAGGGATGGTGATTACAGCAGAGAAACAAAATGAAGTACAAGTGTAAATACTGTAGAGTTCACATAGAAACCAGCCTTATTGTTTCCTGCAACACCTGCAAGGAGGCTGCAGGCAGGTGGGGGTCAGTCTCTGCTCCCGAGTGACAAGTGCTAGGACAAGAGGAAATGGCCTCAGGTTGCACCAGGGGAGGTTTAGGTTGGATATTAGGGAAACTGTCTTCACAGGAAGGGTTGTCAAGCACTGGCACAGGCTGCCCAGGGAGGTGGCCATGTCACCATTCCTGGAGGTGTTTAATGGATGCATAGATATGGTATTTGGGGACGTGGTTCAGTGGTGGCTTGGCACTGCTGGGGTTACAGCAGGACTAGACTTCAAAGGTTTTTTCCAACCTAAGTGATTTTTTTGATGCAGTATTTGTCCTTTTGTGACTTTTTCTGGTGAAAACTAAAATAGGTCAAGCTATACAATATTTTTGTAAGATTATTTGTTATAACTCTGACTTAATATTCCAACAATTATTCTAATATCTTTCTGATTTTTATTGTAGGTATAACTAAGCTTGAAGGTTTTCATCTGTCCCTGTTGCCAGAAAAGATGAAGAAAACTTCCTGGAGTAGAAAGAACTTTCTGCTTGTAGCAGGACTGTCACTTATAGGTGTTCATATAGGAAGCATGCTTGTAAACTTTGTTGCGAAAAAGTCTGCTCTATCTCATTCAGAAGCCAGAAGAGATCGTCCATAATGAAATAGCTTCCTGCTGTCACTATTTTTCTGTTTTGCAACATGATTTAAGCCTCGTTTTAAGAGAGCTGTGATGAGTAGTTTCAGGAATGTTATACTGTTTCGCACTGAAAATAATCCTTACCTGCAAAGAATTAAAATGTACCACTCCTAAAATTTAAAAGTGCAATGAATTATAGATCCAAGTAAAAATGCGATGTGTTTTTGGCTAGAATTAAAATCTTACCTTCAGAATGTCTCGCCTTGAAGCTAAAAAGCCTCCGTTATTTATTAGCGAGCCACTAACTAGAGATGCAGTGAGTCAGTCGCTGTCTCTGCTGAGTGGGATATTAAAATCTTCCTACGGTCCTGCTGGTCGACTCAAGCAGCTGCACAATGGTGTGGGGGGCTGTGTTTGTACCACTTCCCAGTCCTCAGCCCTCCTGGGGCGCCTTTCCCTCAGCCAGCCCGTGCTGCGTGTCCTGACAGCCTCTGTACGGAACCACGTGTCACGTTTCAGTGACTGTGGCTTGTTCACTGCCATCCTTTGCTGTAGCTTCATTGAAAATTTCAGGAGCCTGAATGTTGCACCTTTTACTGTCATTAAAATAAGCAAGCATCTTCTGAGTCTGTGCATGGACCACCTGAAATCTGAGGCCTGTGGTTGCCGGGTGTCTGTGGATTTTAGCAGTGTTGAGACCCTTGTTTGTTTGGTTCGGAGCATTTTAACAAGCAAACCTGCTTGCATGCTTAATAAAACTGAAGTTGATCATCTCACCTCACTGGTTTTAAGGGCTTTTCTATTTACTGTTCCATGTCACGTTGGGACTAATGCTGTTTTAGGGAAGTGTGTGGTAATACCTGTGAAGGGTGGAAGAGTTGTGGATTCTACAGTTCTTCCTGGACTGCTGATAGAAGCACCAGAAGTCCAGCTGGGAAAACCACTTGCTGTCAAAAGGACTGGTTCAAACATGATCAAGATTGCCCTTTTCAGTGTGTCCATGTCAGGGGACGGCTCCAGCCCTGAGGAAGGAACTATAGCGGTCCATCACAGAGTTTCTCTGCAGGTGTCGGAGCTGAATCAGTTGCTGAACGTGGGGAGGCAGCTGGTTAAGGATGAGGTGGGCCTGGTGGTGTGCCAGAAGGTGATGCATCCCTCCTTGAAGCAGTACCTGGAGGAGCAGGGTGTGGTGGCTGTGGACAGGGCCGGGCTGTCCCTGATGGAGCCGCTGGGCCGTGTGACAGGTAACAGGCCAGCTCTCTGCCTGAGCCATTGTCCTGCAGCTGTCTCTGTGAGGGCAGCGTCACCTGCGCTGGTGTCATGGCAGAGGAAGGTCTCTCATTTCCCTCTACCTTAGCCACCAAGCAAGAGTTGCTCTTTTCTAGTCCAAAAACCATTTTCCAAGGTGACTGGGTCTTCTGTGCAGGCCCTGATGGTGGCATACCACAGGTGTTATTACTGCTTGTGGAATGAGAGATAGCCAGTTCCAGTTTGTTTTCAAACCTTGATTCAAGGCAAATGAAACAATTACTTTTTTTAATCTCAAATTGCCACCAAGTGTTGCACTCTGAATGTGTTGCTTTCTGTGATTTCCTGTGTGAATTGAAATGACAGGTATTGAACAATGTATATAACTTAAAAAGCCAAGAGGAATAAAGGTGATGCCTTATGAAATGCATCAGCTAGCTGTTCTGATGCTGCCACATACTGTTTTCTCCTTTTTTAATTGACAGGTTCACAGCCTATAGCTTCCATACATTCGTTGCCTCCTGGCTGTTATGGCAGCTTGAAAGATTTGTGCGTTGAGAGTTTTGCTTCAAAGCATTTTCTACATCTAATTCCTGGGGACACAGTTATCTGCAGCCTGATACTCTGTAACAGAAGTGAAACAGCATGGGATGAGTTGAAGGTAGGTAAATTTTCTTCAAATATTTTCTGGGAAAGTCATATTTTTAATAGAAAAATACTGAGAAATATGAAATACATTGAGTTTAGAAGCATAGTTTTTTCAGTACATAAATTTCAAAATCCTTGAAGTGCTCATGTTCATTTAATGCGTCTGTTTTAATACAGGAAGTTATTTAGGGACAGGTACATCTTTACCTGTTCTTGAGGCCAGTGCTGGATAAACATTCTCATTTTCATTACTTGATCTATGAGAACATTAAAATCAAAACTGCCTAGCGAAAAGCCAGCAGCAACACATACAATGATAGTCAAGCATTGTTTTGCATTGAACATTTGGTCTGGAAATGTCATTGATACTGATTGTCTTTTTATATATAGCCCTGTTTTGAAAAAAGAAGGATTAAAATGCAGCTTTTTATTTCTGCTTTTCCATAGTGTGGACAAATAAAGCCAATTTCTTATTAAGGGAACAAGGTCTTGGGAATCTCTCAGCAGTTTTATAT